AAACTTCATTCTAATAAAAAACAATAAAGACTAAACTGGGCACTGGTAGTACATGTCTATAATCCTAACTACTAAGGAGCCTGAGATCTGAGAATTTAGGTTTAACAAAGTTACACTGGGCAGACAAATCCAAAAGACTGAACTCCACAATTAACTAGCAAAAGGCAGTGGAGATGTGGTTCAAGTCGTAGAGTGCCAACTGTAAGCAGAAAACCCTGATAAGCTGAGTGAGAGTCTAAGTCCAGGAATTCAAGCCCTAGTGCCAGTATAAAACAAAATAAAGGAAAAGAAAAAGACTTAAAAAGATGTAACATTGTGATACTGACTATCCTTCCTGTCTCCAAACTTCCTAGAAAGCTGCTTTTTTTAAATCCAAAGAGGCATTGAAAATTAATTTTTACTTGACTTCATAAGAATCAAGATGTTTCAAAGAGCGAGAGGACTACACAATGTAGCTCATCATCCTCCCTGTCATTGCCCAATGGCATTTTCATTTTAGTAGGTCAAAATTATAATTTATGAAATTTATGATGTAAGTTGGGTTTATGTGTCATTCCTACCATTTTGGCACCAAATATTTCACCCAATAATTTCTTTGTGAGCATGAAATGCAAGGATAGTTTGCTAATAGTTACTTAAGCATTTTCAGAGTTAGATTCCTTGAGTTGGGGGTGGACAAAAGGAGAAAAAAAGCTTTGTTTACTCAAGAGTTTTTTTTTAAAGGCTACGTTGATTTTATTATGTTTATGACAAATCATTAGCACAGTAATTTGTGGCCTATTATATATCATAAAATGGAAACCATATTTCAAGCATTTTTAAAAGGACAGGCTTATTTCAAATGTCCTTATGCTCTAGTTCATACAGATCATTTAGTTGCAAAGTAATGGTACTAACATGAAAGAGGAGCTAAAGAAACAATAGCTAAAAACTTCCATTTTAATGTTTTTTTTTGGGGGGGGGAGGGGTCCAGTCGTGGGGCCTGAACTCTGGGCCTGGGCGCTGTCCCTCAGCTCTTCAGCTCAAGGCTAGCGCTCTACCACTTGAGCCACAGTGCCACTTCTGGCTTTTTTCTTTTTGCTTATGTGGTGCTGAGGAATCGAACCCAGGGCTTCAGGCATGCAAGGCAAGCGCTCTACCACTGAGCCACCTTCCTAGCCCATTAATGTTTTGTTTTTGTACTTTATTCTATACTACCCAAAAAAGCCTTGCAAAGACTAAGGGTGATTATCAGTCTAACATTCAAGAATCTGTTTATACTATTAAGATACAGAAAATTCAACAGTAAAACTTTCAACAAATTAAGTTAAGGCCTTCTGGCTGGTTTATCTAAATCTACTAGTAGTTGAGAGATTGTAGCGTGTTTCTCATCTGCCAGAGGAAATTGCTGATTTGAACTTAATAAGCCAAATATGCACAAATGATAATTATGTAAAGATGCCAAATTTAGGTGTTAAAGAAAATTCATTATCTTATCAGCAAAAGCAAGGGATTAACATAAGATAACTATGAAAATTTAAAGGGTAAATTACTTCTCAAAGAAAATCACGGACTGGAAGTGTGGTTCAAGTGGTAAAGTGGCAATGTAGGAAGTGCAAGGGCCTGAATTCAAACCTCAGTACTGTCAAAAATATAGCCAGGCACAGGTGGCTCACACTGGTAATCCTAGCTACTCATAAGGATGAGATCTGAAGATTGTGATTAGAAATCAACCCAGGCAGGAGAGTCCACAAGACTTTTTTTTTTTAATCAGTCGTGGAGCTTGATTGGGTGCTATCCCTGCACTCTTCAGCTCAAAGAGAGCACTCTACTGTTTGAGCCACAGTGCCATTTTTGGTTTTCTGATGATTAATTGGAGATAAGAGTCTCATGGACTTTCCTGCCTGGGCTGGCTTTGAACAGTGATCCTCAGATCTGAGCCTCCTGAGTAGCTAGGATTACAGGAGTGAGCCACTGGTGCCTGGCCACAAGACTCTTATCTCCAATTAACCACCAGAAAGATGGAAGAAGATCTATGGCTCAAATGGTACAGTGCTAGCTTTGAGTGAAAAAAGTTCAGAGGTGGTACCCAGTCTCTGAATTCAAGCCCCAAACCTGGCACCAAAAAAACATCAACAACAAAAAACACATCTGTAAAACAACCTTACATAAAACAAAAATTTCCTAAAAATTCCACTCTGCTCCAGGAGAATTAAGTAAGGTAAAGTTAGTTAAATGGTCATTTACTAGAAATATTTTAAAAAGGGCTAGACTATCAGTGTCTCAAGCCTGTAATCTTAGGTCCTTGGGAGGTGATGATTAGGTGATCATGGTTTGAGGGCAGCAGGGCATAAAATTTCGAGAGACTGTTTCTCAAACAATGGTTGATTGTAGTGGTATAGCTGTCATTCCCCAGGGAATGCACAAGGAGGACTGCAGCTCAAGCCAACCAGAACAAACAAACAAACAAAAAAAAACCCATGCTGCCTGAAAAATAATTTGAAAAAGGGGCTAAAAGCCTGCCCAACAAGCACAGGACTCTGAATTCAATCCCCAGTACCACCAAAAAATATGCAATTGCCAGGGGGCCAGTGGCTCATGCCTGTAATCCTAGCTATTCAGCAGGTTGAGATCTGAGGATCTCAGTTCAAACCCAGCCAAGGCAGGAAAGTCTGTGAGACTCTTATCTCCAATTAACCAAAAGTGGTGCTGTGGCTCAAGTGGTAGAGCATGCTGAAGAGCTCAGGGAAAGCACCCAGGCCCAGAGTTTAAGCCCCCAAACTGACAAAAAAAATGCAATGAAGAACTTCAGAATTCTAATTTCCAAAATATCACATTCCTATAATCATTATTAAAGTAAAATAAAGTCAGCAAACTTACTCATAACTAAAACATTACAGTGTTTATAGTTACTGCCAGTTATCACATGGCAAAGATATGAAATCATAAAAAAATTAACATTTTTAGATGGTCATTATCCTTTCTTCATTAGACAAAATGTATATAATAAATTTATAAAGGGGTAACATAATGTTGTGTTTATCAAAAAATAGCCTAATATACTGGACACAATTTCCAATGGGAGCTAATCCAAATAGGGACTTAGGGCATAGCACGGCAAAGCTCTCGGCTTCACAACTTTAAAATACAGTAATTGAAATCAGCCATGAAAACACCTTTGCTCTGGGCCCAAATGAATTAAACACATCTAATAAAAATCTCTTTGGTTTTTACTCTGTTTTGTTTAATATGTAAGCTCTCTTGTAATTTCAAGTATCTTAACAATATTATGGACAAAACAATCTATGCAGAGATACAAATTGATCACCAAGTCAATGAGGCCATCACTAGTCACAACATACATACATATATATGAATATATGTGGTGGAAATCTTGTTTTATTTCTTCAGACAAGTTTCCTTATTCTAGAAATAGGAGACCATTATGAGGTGGATAAGATGGACAGAAGTCTGCTTTGAAAGCATGACAAATGAAAACACAAACAGAAATAAGGAATGACTGTTTAAAGGAGTCATACAAGAAAAATTGTATTTAATATTACATGGCGAGCTGATTCATTAGAATTTGTTTTACTTATTTTTTTTCAGGAACACACTTATATGAAGTAAACACACGTGTTTGGTAAGCATAGGCAGAAGCACCAGTAAAAATTCTGCTTAAGTAAAATTATAGGGGATAAACATATTAGAACACTACTTCTGATGGGCTGCAAGATCTATGGATTCAGATGGATAATTTACACGATTAATTATGAACACTGATTTTCAAACTTTAGAAATTATCTGCAGCTATTCAATGGAAACTTTTCTGTGAAATCACACTTGTAATTTTTAAGTAGGCACCCGTTTTACTAAAGAGGAAAAGGCAATGTCACCTCCTGGGTTAAAGCTCACCCATCATTCAGTCATTGGGTTATCATTACAATTTGTCTCCTTTATGAGCTGCTCTTTCGTCTGTCCTATTCCACCCTCCTCTCCTTATCCAGAACTTTAAAGGCAAAGAATAGAATCTGAATTGTCTTTGTATTCGAAAACTCTTTGTAGCACACAGTAGTGTGCTTATTTATTTATTGTTGAAAAATGTCATTTAACAAGCAAGAGATGAGGATGGCGCTATTTAAATAAAATGTTTCAGCCTGTTCACTGTTTCCGCTACATCACCCAGTCTAAATTAAGCCTGGTCCACCATTTCAACGCCACAATACCAAAGTAGAAATTATCACGAAAAACAACTCATCTACCCAATGCCCCAAAGTTTGAATACCCCTGTCCTACCCAGACACGTGATCCCCAAATAGCAAACTGTGGAGAGTTTAGGCATCTGATCAAGGAGTGGTTTTACATTTTTAAGTGTTCTGGGGGCAGGGCAGGTTAAGCAGTTAAGAGTTGAATTTCTGTTTGTCTAATTGGTATAGCCCAGAATCATGGCTTTGAAAGAGGGAGCAGCGCCCAACACTGAAACGAAAAAATCAGTAAGACGTTTTAATAGCCCGAGAGGTGATTGCCAAGATTGAAAAATTGGAGACCAAGTAAAACATACGAAACTTGAGACCAGAGATTCACAGACACTTTAACCTCCCTCGCCCATCTCTCTTTTGAAGGCAATCTCTCCTCGCCATTCCCGCGCCTTCGCTAACCCCCCACTTCCCTCCCCTTCCCCCCCCCTCCGTCGCTCACTTAACTCAGTAATATTGGAGTAGCTTTTGTGGAAAAAAGTTATGTCCACCACTGTGGACTGGCTTCTAAAAGTAACCTAAATTGTGAGCGGTATCGCTCGAGTACTTTCGCTCAGAGCAAGGGGCCCAGCAGGTAAGAGTCCCGCCTCCTTCGTCCCACCCCCAAACCCAAGGCACCGCGCTACGGCCGGCGTCCTCCTCACTGGAGGGTGGTGGCCGAAAGGTGAGGCGGGAGTCCAATCCCTCTGCTCTGGGCAGCCACAAGTAACCGTTTTACAACTCCACCTTTACATTACCCGAAAGGAGGAGGAGAGTACGGCTTACCTGTGAGTCCCCCTCCGCCTTCTTCACCGTAGCCTCGACGCCGCTGCAGCACAAAGTAGTCGTTAGACTTTTCCGTCAGCCACAGCTTGAACGCATTTTTCAGGAGCACTTCCTCAGGCTTCAGCCACATCGCCAAGAACTTTGTGCCGCTTCTAGAGCGGCGACCTATTTGCCCTTCCCACCTCACCCACAGCCCGTCTTTCCTCCTCACTACTCCACACAAAATCTTCTTCAGGCAGCTAAGCCTCAGGTTCAGGTTTTCCACACTTCCTTCCCCCAACCCCCCTCCTCTCCCACGTAGGCAGAGAGGTTGCCAACTCCCGCCCACGGAGCAACCGCCAGACTGGGAAATAGTCCTGCTCCTGCACTTCTTGGGACTTGTAGTTTCATATCTTCCCTTCTGTACTTATGCCTGGGGAGTGCGGAACTACACTTCCCACAATTCATCGCGGTCAGAATGGGTGGGGGGGATGCTTTCAAAGCGTGTCCCGCCACCAGTTTTAAGTGTGGTATGCGATACAAAGTTTAAAACGTTTTTTCCCCCCGCTATTTAAATGAGTAAGCCCTCTCCCCCGCCCCCCCCCCCCCCCCGCCCTTATAGCCGAGAGAGCGTTAATCTTTTTTGAAGTTTCCAGAATTTTCGAGTAAGATCCATTTCGAGAAGCTTCGGTAGTAAGTCGCATTTAATCGGCGATACATTCTTGGGCAACCTCCGGGAATTTTACGGAAGCCTTATAAAGCAAATCTTGCTCTCCAATGACTAAAGGGACGGATCCAACCTCACATAGTGGATGTTTTAATTCCTTGTCCAAATCTCAAATTCTTGTTTAAGCCCTTCCTGCTCTTATGGGAGTAACATAAAATCTCACACAATTCACATATTTTTTCATGCCCTGCACCTCTCTCCTCTCGTTCTCGCTCCACAGTTTGGCTACTACAATAACCAACACAAAAATCTCGAGTCCAACTCTCCTTTTTGTGACTGAACAATTTATGAGGTTTTTTTTCCTTCTTCCTGCCCGTGCTGGCTTTGAACTGATTATCCTCACATTTCCGCTTCCTGAGTATCTCAGATTACATGCTTGACCCAGCTTCTGGCTCTTATCCCCTTTTAAGGAGGGGACAGGGAAACCACCTCTCATCGCAGCCTTCACTTCTTATTATCTTTGTAATAATACACATCTGCTTAAACATGGAAGGAAATAAGGCTAGTAATTAATTTGCATGACACTGCTATGAAATTCAGAGCTGGTTTTATTGGGAAATTTAGTCCTGGAGTTAAGAAATGCACTAAACATACAAATAAGTTTACCAAAAGGAAGGGAGACAATGTACAAATCAACAATTATTATTGGCAAGTTCTTTGGAGAATAAAGGGTCAGGTCATATGGGTTTAAAAATGGGGTGGGCACCCTCAAGTGTCAAGTCCTGAGACCTAGAAAATTTGCTCTGAAGAGAAAAGTGTCTCCAGTTTAACCCTTCGAAGATATCACCCAACCTTAGTTACGCAAATGTGTGCTACAAGCAATGATTTTTCTTGTGGGTGACAAAAGGGGTCATCTGGGATTCTCTTCTGCCAAAAGACAGCAAGTAGTAGTCCAAGGATACCGCTCCTCAGAGTATGGAAGGCACTACCTTTCCAGAATCTTGGGAAAAATCTACCAACTTGGCTCTACCTTGGGGAAGATAATTCACATTATTTTTTCTCTTCTTTCAGGTGCAAGGTGACTAAATGCAAAAATGTACAGAACTGCTATCCTCCCTTATTTTCTCCTTTTACTTTTAACTTTTATTTTCCTGTATTAGGCTTTGTACTCTAGGCCTTGAACTTGCTAGGCAGACACTCTACCACTGGAGCCACACCGCAACCAACTATTAAGCCTTTTTTTTTTTTTTTTGCATTTCCTCCCCCTTTTAATTTCCTTCCTCATCAACCCACATTATTTTCCGATACCCCTCAAGGTTAGTATTGTGCCCAAGGGAATTGATTGGTTCTTTGGCCTCTTTACTCTTCTGTTCCATACAGATCAACCCACGTGCTGTTAGTCCATTGGGACCACTTTTAGTTCATTTGGAGAGCTCCTGCATTAGTACACAGATTATATAGAGAGAACACTTTTTTTCCAAATTAAATTACTTCTGTCATATGAAAATTTGGCTTGATCATAAACAATTTCAAGTCTTTGCAACTAAACGCATTTCTTTGAAACCATATTAAAAATAAAAGATGTTAGTCTATTCAACATTTAATAGTTTATTCAACATTTAATAGTTTATAGGTTACTGGAAATAGTTTAGGGAAGGAGAACTGGAATTACAAACTGCCTTAAATCTCATTGCTGGTATTATACTGATACTAATATACATCATTTAATAGCCATAAATAAGCATATATTTTGCATGCTCAGAGAAGTTACTTTCTTAAGATCACAGAGTTAAACAAATGGCAGAGCTAGGATTTGGAGCTTAATTTGTCTGACTATAAATGAAAATATAATACTGTCCATGCATATGGTTAATGGATACCTGAAATATCACATGTAGAAGTCCAAACTTACTTCTCTCCATTTCCCCACTCCCCCTGACCTCCTGGCTGATTTTTCTTCTACTAGGTTTTCTTAGTTCAAAGTGTTGCTGTTTATCAAGATGTTCAAGATTTGGAATAATCTCAGACTTCTTTCGTTACCCCTGCTTTTCTCCAATTCCATTAGTCCTTCTCCTCTCTTCCACCTCTTCCTCCCCTGCCATTCCACTCTCCATCCCTCTCCCTTTCTCCTCCCCTCTCCCCTCCTACTTTTTCCAATATCCATTTCATCCTCCTAAAATGCTTTAAGTTAGCCTCACATCACTTTCTTGCTGTACTATTTTAATAGCTTCCTAACTTGCCTGCTTCCATTTTAGTTTTTTATATATCCAAGCTGTGTATTTTGGACCCAGTAATATACCATTTGGGTATGAGTAATACCTCACTTATCCAGAGGTCAATCTTTCCACTAAGGCGGTCTTCTAAAGCATGCCCAGGAATACCTATGAGCAAAGGTTTTAGCCAACCCCAAATAGTAATGCCAAACCCTATGCTATGGAAAGGCTGAAGTTGTCATTCAGGAGTTAGTTTACTGACTTCTTATTTGAAATGATGTTCACTAGCTTAACTCATGTAAGTCATGTTTTTTAAAAAACAGTTTTCAGCCTTTTAAGATGTAGGAAGCTTTAAAACTTGTGGACTACTGCTGTTAAGAGAGCCATTTAAAGCTTTGCTACCCAAAGTATGGATCTCAGCTCAACAACATCTGATCACTGGGGAGCTTGCTAGACTCTCACACCTTACACTATACCAACTGATCATAATGCACATTTTAAACAAGATCCCAAGGTAACTGTGAGCACATAAAAGTTTTAGGTGTACTGCTTTAAGGAAAATTAGATATTTGAAAACCAAACGGTAATAATTTTAGGTTAATTATTGATGCTTCCATTAAGACTCATACAGATTTTTTTAAAGCTGTTAACTAATTTTTGATAATCATATCACTCTCTTTTTAAAGATTATATCAGGACATGCACATGAAAGTTTTCTTGAATTGAAAACTAGGATATCGGAATTATGGCTAGAAGGACACCAACCATCCATACCAAACTTTTTTTTAAAGGGGGGGAGCAGTCCTGCAGCTTGAACTCAGGGCTTGAGTACTGTCCCTGAGCCTTTTTGTTCAAGGCTAGAGCTTTACCTCTTGAGTCACAGCTCCACTTCTGGCTTTTTTGGTAGTTATAGAGACAAGTTTCATGGAGGGCTGGGATGTAGCTGAGTGGCAAAGTCCTTGCCTAGCAGGTGCAGTGCTCTGGGTTCAATCCCCAGAACCACACACAAAAAAAGAGTTTCATAGACTTTCCTGTCCAAGCTGGCTTTGAACCCTCTATTCTCAGGTCTTAGCCTCCTGAGTAGGTAGGATTGCGAGACTGAGCCACCAGTACCCCGCCCAAACCCTCTTTATACTTTTCTCTAACGATCTAAGTTTAGATGTGCCTCTGAGAGTCTCACAATTCATATGACTGTGTTTGCATAGAAAAAAATTCACAACTGGTAGGTAGGATTTACCAGACTAGTTACTGAAGTAGCTACGATGGTAGAGGTAGGCCAAAATACCCACCATAATCACAAATATGAACATAAAAGAAAACTATATTTTTATTTATTAATTTTTTAGTCATGGGGCTTGAATTCTGGGCCTGGGCGCTGTTCCTCAGCTCTTCAGTTCAAGGCGAGCACTCTACCACTTGAGCCACAGCACCACTTCTGGTTTTCTGAGTGGTTTATTGGAGATAAGAATCTTACGGAGTTTCTTGCCTAGGCTGGCTTTGAACCCAGATCCGAAGATCTCAGCCTCCTTAGTAGCTAGGATTACAGGCATGAGCCTGGCTCTATATTGTTTAATGTGTTTAAAATGAAAGAATTTTATACCAAATGTAGGTGCTGGGAAGGTGGCTTAGTGGTAGAGTGCTTGCCTTGCATGCATGAAGCCCTGGGTTCAATCCCTCAGCACCACATATGCAGAAGAAGCCTGAAGTGGTGCTGTGGCTCAAGTGGTAGAGCACTTGCCTTGAGCTGAAGAGCTGAGGGACAGTGCCCAGGCCCAGAGTTCAAGCCCCAGTACCAACCAAAAAAAAAAAAAATAAGAAATTTATACCAAATGGAAGTAATGGTCAAAGTAAACAACTGAAGATGATATAGCCTGAGGTGATAAATTCTTTAATTAAAATATTTCCTAAATTAACAAAAACTAGATGGAGGAGAAGGAACTTTCTAGTATTCTAGTTGTCTCTCTAAACATATCTTTACTGCTTGACCATATTTTAAAGATAATATAACCTGAGTCCCACTAAACTTACAAATACTCAGAAAACCACTTGTTAAGTTGGAGACTCCCAAATACAGGCAAATATTATTTACTGTCACTGTTGAAAATAATCAGCTTACATTTTGACAATTATGTAAGTGTATAAATATTAAGACCAAAGTAAAGAATATTGAATGATAATGGCAACAATAATATAATTCACAATTGGCATGCAATTACTTTCCTTAGTATATAATTCAAGAGAATCCAAAACATGTATCTATAGAAAGACTTTGCTAAAATTTTGCTAAAAATTTGCTAAATTTTACATAGTAAAATTAAACCCAAGGGTTTAACTGATGAATAGATAACCAAATGTGGAATAACTATGTAAAGGAATATTACTGAAATATGAGAAGAAATGAATTACTGATACATAC